TAAACACGAGGATGTTGTACTTTTCAGAATTTAGATACTCTATTATTAACCCAATAATAAACTATAGAGTACATTTCATCATTTTGACTCTTTTCTTCCAATGGACATAAAAGTCCTCAGTACAAATTTCATGGTCAATAGAGAGTCCAACACTTTTTTCCAGCAGAAAACAGCCTAGTATATAACGTTTATACCAACAAATCAAAAAATAAATAAAAATCAAATCGATTTAATTCCAATTTGATATATTACAAAAATCAAAGAATCGAACACTCACCTCAAATTTTCAAAAATATGTTGCTGTAATTGACTAGAGTCCATGCATGACAAATGTATATATAAATATATCGAATATCATATCAAAATTGAAAACTTTAACACCACAATTTGAATATTTTGATTTTTGATATGCATATTGAAAAAAGTTTAGTGTTCGATATAGTATCTGATATTACAAATAAAAATTGAATATCATACTGAAATGTATATTTATATATAAAATTCATATATATGTAATAAAATCCTAGTAAATATTTAAAATAGTAACAATTATTTAGATGTAGAAGTTTTAAAACTATTTTATCTTGATTTAATTTTTTTGTGCTTGATTAACAAAGAAAATTGTGTGTACTTTATATTAAATATTTTTACATGTATGATATAGTTAATACATTTCTTGAAGAGTTAAAGTCATAATTTTTTATCATACAAATATATGTAAATTGAAGTTGACCAAACTATTATAACCAATCTATTATATTATAAAACATCGAAATTATAAAATATCGAACCTTATCAAATTATTTTAATATAATATCTTACAAACGGTAAATCAAAATTAGCGAACCAAAACTTTTTAATATCGTAAATTATCGAATTGAATTTTCAATATCGTAACAGTAATTGGACGGCCCATCTTTGTTGACCAAGTTCTTACATGTGTGACTAGTGTCATTCACCTTTGACATGTTCTCCAATTTTACTTCACCTGTAAATTCTTTTTATTTTTATTCTAACATTTGATTATAAATTTAGTTAAAATATAAAAGAAAATTATATTATCAATATATTGTAAAAAAAATTGAAATTATGTATAAATACATAAGTTATTTATTCAGAAAAAGTTGTAAGTGAAACTGAAGTTTCCCCCCAAAAAAGATAAATATTATTATTACTGTATCATATTTGAGGTTAGTGAATAATAAATAGATAAATATTAAAAAGACTATACTATAAATTTGTCTTGTAATGAGCTACATTACGAGATATAGTGGGGGGCGGGGGGGGGGGGGGATTATTGGAATATTTATGTCAGGAGTAGTCTATAGAGACTACAAAACTGAGATTTTTAATAGATTACAAGATTTATTTGTATAGTAGTTTTGCCAGGAATCTATGCTCACGACCCACTGCCCACAGCCGAAAGTTATACTTCTTTCCACTAAAAAATAAATAAATTATTTCGTTTTATTTTTCGATATTCAAATAAATAAATACACCTTCCATAATGTTAATATAATAAATGATTCAAAATATTTCTTTTAAAAATCATAACAGATAAATTAATAAGGAGGGAGTAACTTTAACTACAAATTTATAGGAATGTCATTTTGAGTAGAGTGCAGGGCAATTTTTACCTTTTTAACCTTCAAGTATTGGTAATTAGTAACTTAAAGAATATTCCTTTTTGGATTTATAGTTTAATATCAAATGGTATCACACTAGAATTTGGATTTTGCTAACATGTGTCCCTACTCCCTAACATCAAAATGTGTTTTTTATTACTTAATAATGAAAAGAATTTTACTTGAGTAACGTGCAGAGTTATTTTACCCTTTTAACCTTCAAGAATTAGCAATTGGTAACTTGAAGAATATTTCTTTTGGATTAATATCGAAAACGTGATATTCCAATAAAGAAAAGATTTTTTTAAAGGGTGATTGTGAATTGTTTACAATATAGATAATTTATATGTTACTATAGCGGCCAATAAAAGATTTTTTTTAAAAAAATTAATCGGAATTTTTTTTAAAAATCCAATTTATTTGATGTATTTTTTAGCCGGTCAAAAATAATACCTTTGTTTAAAAAAGAATGACCTCTTTCTTTTTTTTATAACATTTTAATTTCAGTTTTTTACGTAACATGTTTAAGGCCACAAGATTAAATGACAATTTTGTACATATGACATAACTTTAATTTAGGATAACAAGATTCAAAAGTCTTTTTTATTTTCTTAAAATTCGTGTCAAGTCAAATCAGATCATTTTTTTTGAAACGGAGGGAGTAATATCTTTAATACTTAAAAAATATTTAACTTTTTTCTTATTGAGACAATTTACAATCACACAATTATTTATAATTTGTTCAATACCATGAATTTCAACCATTATTTTTATTGTCTCAATCTATGTGAAAATGTTTGATTTGATATTAAATTTTTTAAAAGAAAAACAGAAGACATTTCATCTGATTTAAGGCAAAATATGTTTTTTTCTCATATTTATAAATTATTTCATTAAAAATAAAATAAGAAATTGAAAATATAATTATTAATATATCATTCTTTTTTAAGCGGACGTAAAAATAAAGAGCGTCACACCTACAATAGTAAGACTAAATGTTATGTTTGGTCAAATAATATTGCATAAGATTGAATAAAGCAAATATATATGCAATCAAATAACTCAGTAATGACATCGTTTGTCAAAACATTTGCATGGTTGATTTAGTGAGGTAATGTTAAACATGTATACAAATATTTAACGTTTAAATTTCATATAGCTATTAAAATTAAATGTATGTAAAAATTATTTTAATGATTTTGTTTATCAAAAAGAAAAAATGTATATATACGTTAACCAGTTTGACCAAAAAAAATAGGTACAAGTCCTAGTTGAAGTGTCTAAGTGAATTATGCGTACAACTTTAAGGGGCCGCCGATGACTTAAGTCATGTAAAAAAATACAAATATCAATAGTCGTCTTTCATGAAGTTATAACCATAATTGATAGCACCATTTAAGTATAATCTTTTTTAAAAAAAAATATTCGCTTTAAAATTTACGTGCATGACATTAATGATACTTATAATAAATATTTTATTTTGCAAACAACATTTTTTAATAAAATATTATTATAGTATTTAAGTACGATTGTGGTAAAGGTTAATTTTATAAAGATGTATTGTTACAATAAATGTTATTATTTTCATAAGTCAAATGATATTATTAAAAAAACATAACAAGAAAATATGATTTTTTGGGAGAAAATCAAATTGTTATAATAACGAATGATTTGTTATAATAAGACTGAATTGTATTTTATGAGAAGGCAAGCATAATTTAGAGGAAAGCTCCTTTATCAATGGACCAATTAAGTACTACTAATTTGTCAACCTAAGTCAAGATAAGATTACCTAACATAAATTTATGTTTAGAGGTAATTGTATCCTTAATCACTCCGTAATTTTGCGAAAAGGTTATCACTTATCACCATTTCACTCCACGCTACTGTTGTTTAGAGAAGAATTATACTCCCTTCGTCCTTAATTATTTGTCAATTTTTTAATTGATACACCTATTAAGAAAATAATAATTGATATAGTGAGTTTACCATTTTACTCCTATTAATTATGAAGTAGATGAATTAAAAACTTAAGATTTTTAAAAGGTTCTATCTTTTTCAAAGTAATTAATTGAGAATATAATAAATACATTTTTTTCTCCTTTCTTGATTTGTTAAAATTGACAAGTAATTATGAACAAAAAAAATAAATATAGACAAATAATTAGAGACAGAGGAAATGCTATTGCTTCGTAGTTCTCTCTAGTCTCTATATACGGTAAATAAAGTTTTCCAAATATAGCAAATAAATATAAAAATGACAAAAATAGTCTCTTTTGTTGGTCCTTTAGGTTTTGGAATGATTTTTTTTTTATATAATGTTCTTGTTCTAATTTTTAATTATTTAAAAATGTATATGTTATAATTATATTATTCAAAGGTTATTTTTCACATTTTAAAAATATAAATAATCCAACTCATTTTGGCTATTGATTTATTTTAAGATTAATAAGCTAGTGTTTGACCATTAATTTTTAAATATTTTTGGCAAGTTGTGTTTGGGTGAAGTTTCACCATGAGTTTGGTCCTAGATTATGGGAGAAATCTTTGACTTTTTTAAAATATACGATTTATATCCATAAGTTCTAATACTTATTTTAAATATCTATAAGTTTGTATTATCATTTTAAAATGACAATCTTCCGCGAAAAGTCACGACAATGAACATAATTAATATGAATTTGGAAAAAAGGAAAATACCATTGATTTGTATACGAAAATCTATTATAACTACTTGTAATTGAAAGTAACTTTGAAAAGCAAGCTCGGATAAAAAATGTGTATAACAACATAAATTTTGTACAACAAGCTATGAATAAAATTTAATCCAAAACTATAATTTATGAGTGTTTTTATTAAATATAAAATTTGGGTAATTTTTAAATTTTTTAAAATTCCCAAATTCTAGTTTTTTTAAGAACTTAGAAACTGGAGATGTTTACCAAGTATATTTGCTAAGTAATAATAACAAAGTATATGGCCACACAGGCCTAAGTGAAAGGGTATTATTCTCTAAATCCAATATTTTTTCTTAGTTACCAAAAAAAAAAAAAAAGGACTAAAGTCTTCTTTTTTTCTTTTAACATTTTGAATTTTTTTTATTGGGGTGGTTGGCATAGGGTAATTTGGTCAATTCACATAATACAATTCCCAGCATTGGAGTAAATATTACTTCCCACTGTTCACAATAAATTAACACAGAGTTGACAATCCCAAGTAGTAGTAGAAGAAGAAGCACATTATTTTTAACTTCTCTCACATTTCACACAAATCTCTCTTCTTCTTCCTCCTCTCTCTCTCACTCTCTTCACTTCCATTTCTCTGCAAAAACAGAAAAAAAAAAAGAAAAAAATGTTCTTTTTAATCCAATTTCTATGTTCTTTTGAATAAATGGGCAAAGCATCCAAATGGTTTAGAGGTCTTCTTGGCCTAAAAAACAGGACCCATCATCTTCCTCTAACGAAAATCCAAAACCCACAAAGAAAAAATGGAGCTTTGTTAAATCTTACAGAGAAAAGGACTCTAACTTTGTTAAGGGTACTGATAAAGAATCATCAAACTATGGTCGTGTTGTGTCAAATTCACTTCAAAACGGTTCTGTTGGATGTAGCGTTGATTCGTCAAATCGAGCGATTGCGGTGGCGGAAGCAACGGCCGTCGTAGCCGAAGCTGCTATCGCCGCCGCTCAAGCCGCCGCTGCGGTTGTGAAGCTTACTAATAGTGGTAGAGCTACTACTACCACAACTAATGGTGGTGCCGCTGCTGTTACGATGTGGAACGGCATTTCTCTCAGCTCCTCTGCGGTGGTTGGTAAAAGAAAGGGAGTCGCCGCCGGCAACCGTGAAAATTGTGCCGCCGTTGTTATTCAATCACATTTCCGAGCTTATTTGGTTAGTAGTTGGTTTAAATAATTTGATGATTTTAACTTATTTATAGTAATAATATGATAAAAATTTAATCTTTTACATGTAGTTACAGCTAATCTGCATTATTAGTTATTGCAAACAGTTAGTTTTCATGCGAATTGCAACAACAAAGGTAGAGAGACTGTTTCCGATAATTTTTATGTGAATTGATATGAGTGAAAATTCTTCTTTTTTCACATTGATTGGAAGCTGTTTTATCTATGTCGTTTATTGCTGTGTTTTTTTTTCATAATTAACAAACCAACGTAGCTTGTTGTGTACCTATTTGTTATCCTTTTTTCAAGAAAAAAATGATCTTTTTTTGTTTTGTGGGGTAGAGGGGTGAAGGGGGCGGGTGGTTAAGAGTTGGAACATTGGTGAAGGGGAATGTAGAAGAGAAGAGATATGGGGCCAATGTAGGAACCGTGTGGACCTGAAGATCTAAAAATAGAAATATTATGGGTTAGGTTGAAGTTTTCAAGATTTATTAAAAAAAATATAGAAATGGGATAAAGTGTACTTTTTTGTAAAAAAATTAAGAACTGTGCTATAAAGTGAATTCCAAGATGAGTAGTTTCCTACTCCCTCCGTCCATATTTACTTGTCCATATTTCCTTTTTTAGTTGTCCCTATTTAGTTGTCCATTTTGACAAATCAAGAAAGGACAACAAATTTTTTCCTATTATACCCTTATTTACACTTTTTGAAAATTGTAAAAGTGTATGTTGTTTCCCTCCAATTTATTTCACTTTAATTCAAATAAGTAGTTGTAATTTTGAAGTGAAAAGTGGTCAAAAGGGTAAAATTGTAACTTTATTGTGCTAATCATTGTTGCCTTAATCTGTGTGCCTTTTCTAAAGTGGACAACTAAAAATGGACGGAGGGAGTATTGTTTTAAATGCTTTACTTTGATTAGTAGTAGTATGTTTTTTGTACATTGCTGCACTGTAGTGTTACTGTAACAGCCAGCAAGCAAGGTCACTAGCACTGTTTGATGATGTTAAAGTTGCGTGTATTTGGTTTTTGTGGTACTCTTTTGTTTCTCATATGATGTAAAACTTGACCAAAACTAAGGTAAAAGTTTTTGAATTTTTTGTTTCTATTTTTTTGGGTATTTTTGAGCAACATAGATAATGACTGGAACCTGATAAGCATTTATTTTGGTTAGGCATTGAGGAATTTCATATTAATGTCTCTTAGTTAATATGGCTAATTGTTAGGTAACTTGGTTCAGTATGTGGAAACATCATAAATTCTTTGCCCTGAGGGAAAAGGTTTATATGTTCAGCTGTTCTTTTGGACCACTTGGTGAATTAGTTGATAATTGATATGTATTGAGTTTTTTTGACTATCGGTAAATTTTAGTCTTGTATTGGAATTCTTGATAGTTTTGTGGCTCGTCTGTGTAGTTTGGACTCTAAAAATGTCGCTGCACTACTTTTGGATGATTCGACACGCATAGGCTTACGTTTATGAAATGTCTGAGCAACATAGTCCCAATTTTGTTTTACGGAAAAGGAGATGAGAACTTTGTTGTGTAGTACAATTGCTTTGTCTTTAGAGAGTTGGCAGTCAGAAGCTTTTATGGTACTATTTTTCATTTCTTTATTAGAAAGTTGGTTGAATTGTCATATGTCCCAATCTTCTGAAAATGTCAGACTTCACTTTAGAAGAAGATTTCAGAGGTGTGAAAATGAAGTTTTAAGGCGCCAACACCTTTGAAAATTTTCATGCTTTTCTGTGCTATGACATCATCACAATTCACAAACTAGTTACTGTTACACTATTTGTTTTGCCAATTAATTGCATTTTATGGTCTTAATATGTAATCTGAAGTCGAGGAGAGCTTTACGAGCGTTGAAGGGACTGGTGAAGCTTCAAGCACTGGTGAGAGGTCACATTATTAGGCAACAGACTGCTGATTATCTACGGCAAATGCAAGCAATATCCAGAGCTCAGTCGAGGGCTCGTGCTGGACGATCTCAGATCTCAGGATCCCCTCATTCAAGCACTAAGTCTGTTCAATTTCTTCATGTAAGCAATAACAATCTTCCTTCCCTCCAATTGTACAAATTTGAAGAAAATTCCTATTTCTTAAAGACTGCTGTACTAAAGTTACGGTCTTTAATATAAGTTCCTACTTTGATTAAAGATGCTTACTTTAACCATTCACTTCAGTCCCCCACACCTTTTTCCCATCTACTGTAAAAATGCCACTCTTTTTTTCCTCTTATAATAGTCACTATTCTGAAAGTGGTTAAACATGTCATGTGACTCTAAATTCTTTTACATGTCACGCGGGGTTCTTTTTAAAAATGAGTTGATGCATGTAATCTTTTTTTAGCCAAAAACTTGTCCCCTGTACTGTGTTAGTTAGCTCTAAGCTGCCTATGATTGATCAAATGTGTTCTTAACGTGTAGGATCCCACAACTCCAGAGAAATTCGAGCATGTTATCCGCGCAAGGAGCTTGAAGCATGATGAAACGTCTATGCTCAAGGTATTTTATGCTTGTTTAGTGCAGCAACTATTTTAATTGTTAATGACTAACTTGGAGTGTTAATAATGCAGAGGAATACCTCGAAATCAAATTGGAAGGTAATTGATTCGGAAAAGGCACGAATTAGACCTCACGGATCTTCTGCAAGAACTAGTTCTATTGATGACGAAAAGAGTGACAAGATCCTCGAGATAGATACCGTGAAACCATATGTTACACCTAAACAAAGGAACCTCTTCCACTCCTCACATCATAGCTTGAACTCTGACCAATACAGCTATAGCTTAACAACGTCAAAGGAATCAACAGCTCATCAAACGGTTCCCAGTCCATCGTCCTGTGGAAATCAACCCCTTAGTCCCCTGAAGTTCAATGAAGATCTTGATGAAGCTTGCTTCTGCACTGCTGACAATAGCCCTCAGTTTTACTCGGCTTCATCAAAGGGCGGTAGTTCAAAGAGAGGACCGTTTACACCAACTAAGAGCGACGGTTCAAGAAGCTATATGAGTGGTTACTCTGATCATCCCAACTACATGTCCTACACTGAGTCCTCCAAGGCTAAGGTACGTTCAATGAGCGCACCTAAACAAAGGCCTCACTACGAGAGATCAAGTTCAACAAAAAGGTACTCGATTCATGGGTGCAGTGAGTCAAGAAACAACTCACAAAAGGGTTCTTTTTATGCCAACTTCACTGGTAAAGCTTATCCCGGTTCTGGTCGGTTGGACCGGCTTGGAATGCCTGTTATCAGGGCAGATCCATCTGGATTCAGTGGTGGTCTTCGTCACAGATATTAAGCATACATTGTAGTTGAAAACTAACCAGATGTAGCTAATTATGAATATCTAATGTCTTGTGTTTAGGCCATGGTGCTAATGTGAAGCATTTTATGCCTAGTTGGTAAGAGAATGCAATCTCTTGGTTGTGAAAAGTATTTGATTCGAGTTCCTTTGGGTATTGAGTTGTTTTTGTTAGAGAGGTGGGATTCTGGCTAGTTCGAATTTAATCGGACTCCATGAACTTAAGGTGGGAAACTAATTAAGGGCCCTTTGTTTTCCAATTTCCAAATTACAAACTATACTCACATTTTCAACTTTTTTAACTAATTCAACCCTCCAACATGAACTGAATTCAGCGCTGATTAAAACAAAAAAAGATTCAATGCAGGCAGCCTGGCACCTTCTATTTAAGCATATCTTACATTTTCCCATGAGGATCTTTGTCATTATAATTTTAAACATTAAATTTATGGGTCCACAATAATATCAGTATGAATAGATAAAGTATGGCTTTTGGGACCATCATGGTAGTATTTCCACTCTCCTCTGTCTTGAGTGAATTGGTTTCGAGAGCATTCCGCCAGTTTTTGGCGGCTTTCACTTTCAACTTGATTCACCGCCTACGTGCCCTTTACGCCCAGTCGTTCTTTCCAAATATTGATCAAGACTTCCCATTTATTCACTTTTTACAGGTCTGTAGATTTTGAAGTAATATAGTAACATAAAGTAAGTAGTAGTTGGATGTGTTAAAAGTAGGAAAAGATAGAAAGTATCGTCATGGGATTTTTTTGACAAAATCTCTTTTCAAGTATGGCTATGATAGCACTTTTGGATCTAACTCGACCTCAAAAACTAGCTTTTACTGAATGTTTAAAATCATATATGAATATCAAAACTCATTCCACCAGTTAGTGTAGGACTTAAATACTAGTACACCTACACTTAGTTGAAGAGTAAATTACGAGTATGGGTGATAGATAAGCGGTTTCATCTAAATTTGAATGGATCAAAATGAGTATTATGGATCAAAATGAGTTGAATCAAGAAATGATCATTTACAGCTCTGGTTAAAAGATAGTAGTTAATTGATTGAGAAGGGTGAGTCAGGATGGACTAAACAATGAACCGTACAACAACAATAATATATCTAGTGTAATCTTACAAGTTGGATCTAGAGAGGCAGGAGTATATGCAAGCTTATCCCTAATTTGAGAAACTGTTTTCAATACATCCTTGTCTCAAGTAAAACATATGAAAGTGAATAAAAGTTTTCATTTTTACAATATTCTACTTATATATAAGAGGGAGTTTATGATGGGACATTTGAATGTCCCATCATAAACTCCCTATATAATACATAATATAATAAATCATTTTTTCTACTATATAATATATATTTATTTTCTAAGGGAGTTTATATAATATATAATATAATATATAATAATATAACATAATAAATCATTTACAAATGACTTAAAATATTTAATATTTAAAATTCTACCATAAAATAGGTTGACTCTCAAAATTCTATCCGGGTCACATATATTGAGACAGAAAAAATAACATATATCATTTTAAAATTACCAAAAAAGTATTAAAAATAATAATAATTAACAACTTAAAATATCTGAAAGACATTTTAAAATGGTTAATTTTGTAATTTTATCCATATCACATAAATTAGGAAGTTATTTGAAAGTTACATAAAAATATTATAAATCACAATAATTAATAACTTAAATTTTTTTTTTAAAAAAGTGCAAATTTTGATGACTCTTCAAATTTCATTTGTGTCACATAAATTGAGACAACAAAAATAACATATATTGCGTCCATTTTAATTTATTTGTCTTAATTTTTTTTTTATATTTACAAATTGCGTAAAAATACTATAAATCATGATGATTGACAACATAAAATATGTTTTGAAAAAGATACAAAAAATTGCACTGATTCTTGAAGTTAATCTATCGTAAAAATACTATAAATCATGATAATTGACAACATAAAATATTAAAAAAAAATATACATATAAATTTTTTTGATTGATTCTTGAAATTAATCTATCGTTAAAATTTATGTATAAAATACAATAAATCGTGATAATTGACAACTTAAAATATTTATTAAAAATGCACAAAAAAAGAAATTGACTGATTCTTAAAATTAATCTATCAATGTCACATAAAATGAGACAAAAGTAGTAATATGTATTATTTAATGTCAAATTACTGAAAACTACGTAAAATTTATTGTAAATCTTAACAATTAACAACATTTGATTAACTCTTGAAATTTTATCTATGCTACATACATTGAGACAAGTGGAGTAATATATATTAAGTATTTACAAATTACGTAAAAATATTATAAATTACATTATTAACAACTTAAAATATTTAAAAATCATATTAAATTTAAATAACTCACTATATTTTATCTGTGTCACATACATTAGGACAAAAAATAATAGTTATTGGGCCTGTGCGTAAGAGAGTTTATGCCCAAGTATAATATATAATATTCAATGACTCTCCAAATTTCATTTGTGTCACATAAATTGAGACAACAAAAATAACATATATTCGGTCCATTTTAATTTATTTGTCTTATTTTTTAAAAAAATTTATATTTAAAAATTGCGTAAAAATACTATAAATCATGATAATTGACAACATAAAATATGTTTTTGAAAAAGATACAAAAAATTCCATTGATTCTTGAAGTTAATCTATCGTAAAAATACTATAAATCATGATAATTGACAACATAAAACATTTCAAAAATAAATACATTTAAAAAAATTCGATTGATTCTTGAAATTAATCTATCGTTAAAAATTATGTATAAAATACAATAAATCGTGATAATTGACAACTTAAAATATTTATTAAAAAAACAAAAAAAAAATTGACTGATTCTTAAAATTAAATCGTGATAATTGACAACATAAAATTGTTCAAAAATGTTGTATGTGGGTAGTCTTATTGTGCCTTGAATAGCGTCAAAGAAAGTACAGCTTTGTGATAAAAAAACTTATTCCTTTATCAACGCAAACAATCGCTTCAAAAACTTCGTTATTAGCCCCAAAACATACCATTTATGTTATTGGGCCCGTGCATAGCACGGGCAACAAAATCTAGTCATATCAAATAAAAGTAAGTTGTTTTGTTTCTCATGAATCAAGTTAGCCCAAATCGGTCCAATTTGGGTAGATCAAAATGAATATAATTCAAATATTATATTTTCATGAATTAATTTTATCGCTCCGAGACACGAACATTGAGAAGCACAGATAGGGGTCGATGATTCTAAGTTCTAACTAATAGTGGGGCAGATTTGATGGTCATTTCATTTGCCGGTCTGGTTACGCACCTTTGCTCTCTATTTTCAGCCTCTCTTAACTACATACAAGTAAATGTACCCTTCAATATTTCAATTTTCAACCAACAACTATAAAATTTTAAATTTTTGAATTTTCTGTACTACATTCATTAGATAAGATAGTCTAGACTTGACTCTTAGATACCCTTTCGTTGGGAATAAGTTATTCTAGAATTTATTATTCCAAAATAAGTTATCTCATCATGTATTATGAGATAATTTATTCCATCACTAAAGAATAAATGGTGGGATAAAAGTTCCAGGACTACCTAATACCTTCAACTAATACATGATAAAAAATAGTCCTGCATTTTGTCCTTGAAATTATTATACCTTATAGCTCACGCCAAACGACTACTATAATTGGGATCATTGCTTGCCAAAAAAACAAGAAAAAAGAAGAAGAGAAACATTAGTAGTTAGGGAACATAATCTTGACATATTTGATAAGTAGTTAAGTACTGATTTTGTATTCTATTGGAGACAAACATGTCCATTTGACTTGTAAAAATTTCAAAAACATATATAACAATGGTGAATAGTAGAATGGACAACACTAAAATAATGCAGTGGTTGTGCATGGCAGCTAAAAAGTCATAATCACACCACTTAAATTTCTATTTCTTTCTTCATTCTTGTATTTATTATTACTAATGTTTCTGAATTATATCTGTTTGTTTGGGTAGCTTTAAGTGCACTAATAGATATATTTATTAAGAATTACATAGGGTGTCCAACAACTATTGTATACATCCAAAATTTACAATTGATTAAGCAATAAGGTGTCGTGGTGTAGTTGGTTATCACGTCAGTCTAACACACTGAAGGTCTCCGGTTCGAACCCGGGCGACGCCATTTTTTTAAAACTATATGTTGCATTTCTTTTTGAGAACCGTTTCAACATTTTCATCCAAATACATATATAGTTGCTTATTTATAAAAATAATAATGATAAAGTACTTAAAAGAGTATTTTTCAACGCTTAATGTTTATCAACTATTTATGATCAATTAATCCAAACGAGTTCTAATTATATATGATGTATTCAAGGGTGTGATTTAGTGGTCAATAAAATAGTTAGAGAACTGAAAATCAAAACTGAACAAAGACAAATTACTAAGTGATTCTTCTTGTCTATCCTAGCATTGATAGACAAAGTTACTATCTGTTGCTGGTGGAAGATGGTACAAAGAAATGTGATGAAGAGATCACAATTCACATCTAAAGTTTGACACGAAATTTCACTCTAACACCTAAGAATAATAATGAGTCCTTGACATTGCCTCAAATACTTACGAAAGAGCCAATTCATATAACTTCCAAATTTCACTTACTATACAAACAAAATTGGTCACCTTAGCTTTTTGCTTGTAAGAATACTGTGGATTCTCATCACAAACAAAAAAAAAAAAAGCTAATGTGGAAGCAAAAAAATAACACATACTCAACATGCAAAATATAGACCATCCACATGCCAAAACCAATAAAATTTCCTTAGCCACGTACTTAACATGCAACCCATTTCAACCCCTTATAAAATTCACACTTTCCCTATAACATTAAAATACCACAACATCTTCTATTAAAAAAATAAAATAAAATATTATCGATCTCTTTAATTTTCACTATGGGTAAAGTAATAATATTTGGAGCAACATGTTTAGCCATACTTTTTATGGCAGTTACAGCTTCTAGCTTTCGTACTACAATTACCATAGCTGAAAACCCATGGGAACAAATGTCTCAACGTTGCCAAATGGAAATGCAAAGGGCACAGAACTTACGTTCTTGTGAAGAGTATTTAAGACAAAGTACAAAATTTACTGAAGAGGGAAGATATATAAATCAACAAAGCGGAGACTGGCGCCAATCATTCCCAAGGTATACATTTTTCCAATTTAATTACTACTACTATATACGAGTTTTTATACTTCTTCCGTGTGACAATAGTTGTCCATTATATTAAAAATAGTTGTCCAATTTAGAAAATCAAGAGATCATCTGACACATTTCTTAAAAATATTAAATTTAATAAAGTTAAATAATAAAATAGTAATATTACTTCTATTATTTATTGTTTCTTAAAATGTGTGTCAAGTCAATAGTGAACAACTATTGTTGGACAGATCGAGGGAGTATGAATTTTTATACTTCTTCCGTCCAACAAGAGTTGTCCATTATACTAAATATAGTTGTTCAATAATACTTGTCCAATTTAGAAAATCAAGAGATAATTTACCTTTTGTGTCTATTTTATCCTTGCTATTAAATACTATTTTTCAAATTAAAGCACAAAATTTAATAAAATCAATGGATAAAATAGTAATATTACTCATATTATTTATTGTTTCTTTCGGATGAAAAAATAGGTTTGAGTGTTTTTTTCTGTACGAGTTACACAAATCCGATAGTTGATGGTTTATTCTATCCCTACTTTTTTCAAATTCTAAGGATTTTTAGAATACATCATTCAATATTCCAATATACTCCTTCCAATCAACAATAGTTCATTTTACTAAAAATAAATATCCATCCAACAATACTTGTTCATTTTATAAAATTCATGACTAATTTTACACTAAATTACCCTTATCATTAATTATAGTCATTTCCCTATTACATTTTTCAAAGACATTGTATTTATTATATTCAAAGAGTGATATAATAAAATTACTCTTAGTTTCTTATATTAAGAGGAGTGTCAAGTCAACAGTGCACAACTATTGTTGGACAGAGAGATCAATATTATTCTTCTTGATATAAGACACCGTTGTTCCGATACATTGTTCAATATCCCGATACATTGCGTCACTATAATTTGATGGAAATGGACAGGTGCTGCGAGCAAATGGAACAGATGCAAGACGAGCAATGCCGGTGCGAGGGAATAAAACAGGTGATACAGAAGGAGCAAGAGAGAGGAGAATTACAGGGTAGAGAAATGCGTGAGGCTTGTAAAACTGCACAGAGCCTTCCTGGTTTATGCCGCATGAGTCCTCACCAATGCCATAATATTCCAACTCCCACTTTCTTCTAATTATGAAAAATAGCAAGCTTTAGTTAGCTTGCTTTTTTATTTTGTAATAAAAATAAAATGACTAGTAAGTACTACTGCTAGCTTAGTAATGAGTAATTAATCACACCTTGTTATGGTGCCTGTGTTGTGTTAACCAGGCAGTTTAATTTGGTGTGTTTGTAATGTTTTTGAGTAAGTAACAATAATGATGTGCTAATTTCTATTTCCTTCTAAGTTAATTTGATCGTCTTTGTGTCTTGGTAGTTCATAAGCCATTCGTAAGCAAAGTGAACCTAATATTACTCTCCGTTTTTTAAAAAGTTCAAAAATATATTGATGCCTAAATCCCCTAAAAACATAATCTTTTTGTCCCCATATATTCTTTTAACTAGTCGTAAAAAATGAAATTATTTTTATAATTGAAAATAATTTAACTTCTAAATTCCATTAGTATCTTTAATGAAATAATCTATAGTTATATAAAAAATCAAAAAATATTTTCTCTTGAATAGTTATATTTTCTCTACTTTTGTTATTTTACCTGATGTTTACGTGGTGATATATATATATATATATATATATATATATATATATATATTTTCCATTTAAAATTTCTTCCTATAACTTAATTATTATATCCATCCATCTAACTCATAAAACCTAAATTCCTAATACATCTTTCATCGTCACTTTCTCCTATGACGCTGGATATATCGATGTAGACATATATTAGGGACATGAAATTAAACCGCTCAAAGATAAATATGTGTACAAAATTGCATAATAGAGACAAATATATCAAATATACTAAATAGTTTTGTTGAGATGTTTTATGAGGATTTGACTTTTGAATAATTAAAGACGGTTTAATTTGATTTTCAATATCTAAATATATTTTTAAGAAAATTACTGAGAAAATAATAAATTAATAAATCAACTTAATACTATTATATCGGCAAAATATTTTTTAAAGGATTATATATATATATATATATATAAAAGAATCTTATTTATTTACAAACCAAAATTCCCTCTTAATTTATTTATTTACAAAACTAGCATTCCCCTTTCATGAAAAGTTATGAAATTTATGAAAAGTTGTGAGAATTCCCTTTTAATTTATTTATATACTAAACTAATTTTTTCCTTTCATGAAAAGTTGTGAAATTTATGAAAAATTGTGACTTTTATGAAAAACTGTGACTTTTATGAAAAGTTGTGACTTTTATGAAAAATTGTGATTTTTATGAAAAGTTGCGACTTTAATGAAGAGTTGCGACTTTTATGAAAAGTTGTGACTTTTATGAAAGGTTGTGACCTTTCCGAAGGGTTGCAACTTTTCCAATAGTTGTAACCTTTCCGATAAGGCACAATAAACATTTGTTCACACTACCATTTGTTGTCTATGAATAGAGGGATTTCCTCTCATTTTAAAACAACAAAAAATCTGAACCACTTCTTCTTCACAATTAAATATTTGTGTATTTCAATCATGTTGAGTGGCTCACTGACACCATTGTTTATGTTACAGATCCTGAAATTTATTTTTATAGTCATTTATTTATGCTTATGTTATTAAGGACAAAATGATAAGATGTAATAATTTTCATTTTCCTTTACATTATTGATGTTTGTTACTACGTAATCTTGTATGTAAGATAATATAGTGTTTTAGTTTTAACAACTGTTAGATTTTAGAGCAACTTTCACATATGACAAACACAAAATTCATATTTGTATGTTATAGCAAAGTTTGTATAATTGCGCTCTATAACAAACATATATATGTATAATTCGCTATACATATACAAAAACACAGTTATATAATTCGCTATACATATACAAAGAAGGCAGTTGTATAATTCGCTATACATATACAAAAGAAAGCAGTTGTATACAAAAGATCAATTGTATAATCTGTGTATGTATAAAACGAGAAAGAGAGAAATTCAAAAGAAAACTGGGCAGAGAAATATTTGTATTGTATATTTATAAGTGTATAGGACGAAGATATATGTATTTGCATGTGTATATACAATTTTCTCTTGCTTTATACAAACAGAAGCGCAATTTATACATTTCGTTTTTGTTTGTATAAGCGAGAGAGGCGAGGATGACCAGTGAGATTTGGGAGAGTGGCGAGCGAGATCTGGGAGAGGGGTGAGAGGGGAACGAAAATATATGTATATATACAATTTCCTCTCGCTTTATACAAACACAAACACATTTTATACATTTGTGTTTGTACAAAAGCGAGAGAGGCGAGCGAGACTGTCACCAAACGAGAGTGGCGAGCGAGATTCCACCAAGGAGAGTGGCAAAAATAGCAATAGTTTGCTATAGCGTGCAATTAAATCAAAGTATATTTATAACATTTAATTTGAATTAATAGTTTGCTATTATATACAATTTTCCCTAGATTTTAAGTATTATTTTATAAATTTCATGATATTAATTTTACTAGGTATATAGTAATTGATAATGGCATATTGGCTTGCGATGGTGCTTAATTGCTTATCATGAGGCTCAATTAGGGATAACATTAGTGTTTTGTGGCTGATAGTAATAATTACTATAGCTGGTGGTTATATATATGGATGATGGTAGTTTATAATAGTGGTAGTAGTTATAGCAGCTAATGAATGAAGTGAACTATTATTCAGATTTATTAACTGAGTATAATATAAACAAAATAAATTTACCTAATAGTTAAAATTCAAATCTAAAGAAAATGCTCACTAATTAAAATATGAATAATTAAACTAAGAGTGAAAGGGGTACAAGGCAATGCTCCTCCATGTTCCTAGTGTTCAGTAACGCGTACTGTTCAATTCGCTAGTGATATTGTATGTTTTGAAGTTCAGATTGATGAGAAAAATTTATAACGGTTCAATCCGCTAGTGATATTGTCTGCTTTGGATCTAAATCTGACAACTTAAAAAAGTATCACTACTAAATAATGTCTGCTTATTTATATATACAATACCTCTTTTGTATTTTTAATGTGAAACTTATTATTTTAAGTTGGGTTGATACAAAACCATTGTAAGCAACTAACAACATTTTCTCTATATATAGCTCCAAAATCAGTTTCTAATTTCCAAACAAACCAATTGATTTAATATATATATATATATATATATATATATATATATATATAATTACCTTAAAAGCATGAACTCCTAACTTGAATGTTAAATTACTATAATATCCCTAATTTAGGTTGTGATTTTTTCGATAGATTGTGACTTTTTCAAAGGATTGTGATTTTCGATCAATTGTGATTTTTCCAAAGAGTTGTAACTTTTTCAGTAAGTTGTGACTTTCCAAAGAGTTGTGACTTTTTCAATAAGTTGTGACTTTTCCAAAGAGTTGTGACTTCTCGAAAAGGTCATGACTTTTCAGATAAGACACAAAAATTATTTGTTCATACTACCCTTTGTTGACTATAAATAGAGGGTCTTCCTCTCATTTTTCAACCACAATTTTTTTAATCTTCTACTCTTCTTCTTTGTGCATTTTAATTTATTTTTTTGTGGTTTATTGTCGTTGAGTGAGTTCGATGTTTAGCGGATATGAGGTACCACTATTCTGATGAAGTAAGTTGTTCTATCCTAAGAGGGTATATTCCATAACCTCGAGTACTTGAGGAAAATAATTCTGATAAAATAATAATTATTTTTTTGCTTAATATATACATTAGTATGTAATGTTCCAATACGTGAAGTTAACATGATGTAATCTAAATTCATTTGTTTTTGTTAACAATTTCTCTTGTGATGTAGATATATGTTTTTGAATATCTTTTTCAAAATTTAGAGAATTGTCACGATTTGTTTTTGATGCTAAAGAAAAAAGAATGACTTTATTTATCAATACTACTTATGTGATTTAGACTCTCATGAAGTTTGTTTTAAAATAGTAATTACTATATAAACATTGCCCTTTTGTTTTACTTATTTGCTATTTATTAAAATTTCAGTATTTTAGACAAAGAAAAGTTCATATGACTTGTAATAACGCCAGTTGAAGTTTGTATTAGTTTAATTTTTATTATTTCTTTTATAGTTAATTTTATGAGATAAATATTTTCATTAATGCAAATATATATTTATATTTGGGTAGGTATTTGTATTTAAATTAAAGTATTATATATGTCACAAATATATTATCAAGTTAACAAGATCTTCTAACTTCAAAATATATTATTTTAAAATGTTCCCAGTTTTTTTTTTTTTTTAAAAAAAAACTCAGAAACCAATATAAAAATATGTGAATATATAAAATGTAGTTGTTCTCTTCACATGTTCATATGACATCTAAAGAATTTAACGTGGAATACACATGCAAAGCACATCTGGTTAGATGACAAGAAAAATACAAAACAAATATTGCCTATAAGGTAATATTAGTGAGATAAAACTAATTACATGATTAACCTCATCAAATTGAAAAAAATATATACATTATTGCATATAACTAATAAAATTTTTCATTGACCATCTTAATAGGTTTGCGTGAATAAGAAATATATATGACGATCCACGTTGAACATTCACAAAAAAATCTGCATTATTATTTTTTGCTAAGCTTGTTATTCAAATCTTCGCTACTATTTACTATAACATATATTTTTGGAATTGGTAATCACGTGCAACGCACATGTCAAAAAACTAGTATATTTTTTTATTTTTTATTTTTTTTAATTTTCTTTTGTAAGAGTGTTATTTGATAATCGTTTCATCTCTTCACTTACGTGGAAGCAAGCAGGGGAGTATCTATGTTAATAATACCGTATATAGTAAAATGATATATGAAGGGATTACATAACATATTTTGGGTAGAATAAGGTATTGTAGCCCAATAATTTTAGACATCTTAAGGCTTGAAAGAGCCAATGCTTAGGGTGCTCACGTGAAATTTTGACTCCGCCACTAAAAAGGTTCACTTTACTTTTTTTGACACCCTTGTGAAACAAAAAGGAAGATAAAAACATAACAACATGCAGAAGAAGACACCATATATCCACCTGCCAAAACCTCTAAATTTCCCCAGCCACGTACTTAACATGCAACCCTTTTAATCCCCTATAAATTCAGTTCATTTTCATAGAACAAACACATTCACATCTTTTCATTAATCATCATAATAATAATAAAAAAGAGAAGTATTTAATTAAAATCATGGGTAGAATTATGATTGTTGG